AAAAGGAGAACACGGAATTTGACTTGAACTTCCAAGCTGTTGTGTGCCGTCAAGTCACCTGTGATCCATAGTGACCCTATGTACAGCAGCTCTGAACCCCGCCCTGCCCTGAGCCAGTCTCACTAATTCCAACACACCAACCCCCATCACCCCAGTTACTGCATCAATCCATCTCATATGGAGTCTTCCTCTCCTGCACTGTCCGTCCACCCTTCTGAGCATGATGTCCTTCTCCAAGGACTGGTCCCTCCAAGTTGTCACATGGGAAAGGGGTACTATTTCAAGCTTTATCGCTCATCCTGGTTAGGAATTTCTTTTCTTGTGATGTTTAAGAAGAATTTCTTCTGTGGTTTCTAGTAGATCAGACGTCAAGTATGTGAAAGCAACTTGTTATCTAGTGCTGTCATAACAGAGATCCTTCTACAGTTTACAAGTCCAAATTCAAAGTACTCACTCTAGGGGAAGGCCCTTTCTCTCCGTTAGTCCTGGAGGAAGGTCCTTGTTTCCTGCAGCCCAGTCTGCAGGCCCAGCGTTCCCTGAAGATCTCCTTGAGTGGAGACCAGGGTCCGGAAGGATACCCTTCATTCCTAGCTGTCTGTCCTTTCTTGGTGTTCTGAGGTCTCCTCTCTCTCTCTCTCCTCTTTCCTCCCCATCCCTTTCTAAGGAGATAAAAGATGTTTCAGGCTACATCCCCTTAGATCAGAACTGTGTTGAGATTAAGGGGTATTACCTTCCACCTTTAATCCTTTTTCATCTATTTGATTTCTCAGATCATAGGAGATCATTACATATTTTCCACCTCATATCATTACAACAGGTGACTAGACGGCACATAACAACAATATCATTATGTAGATGCATTTTGGGGGACGCATGATTCAGTCCCTGACATCCCAGTAGCAATAATTCTTTGGCAAGATTTTTCACTGTGGACCAAGGATGTAATGTCCACCTAAAGCCATTAAGTGATAGTAGAGTTGGGGGGTGATAGTTATTGGCTGAATGTGACTAGGAGCCCCAGTCCTGCACCGCTGACCTCCTGGGTCCCTGTGGGTAGCCAAAGGGTGCCCCTCGTGGGATGACCTCTAAGGCAGTGGCCCTTTATCCCAGGACACCCTGGAGAAATGTGGCAAGTGCGCAGAGGTGGTCCAGGAGCATATCATCCGGGCCCTGGGCCAGGTCTTCCACCCCAGCTGCTTCACATGTGTGGCCTGCTCCCGGCGCATCGGGGACGAGAGCTTTGCCCTGGACAGCCAGAACGAGGTGTACTGCCTGGATGACTTCTACAGGTAGGTACCAGAGCGGTCCGCACCGTGAGTGGGGCTGGGAGGGCGGGTCCAGCTCCAGCAGGACAAAAGAGCTAGACATTTGTTCTCCAGAGAACTTGCTCTGACCAGAAGGGAGAGGAGCTGCTGGGCAGATGCATAGCAGGACACATGCTCTTTCAAGGACCCGGGAAGAGCATGTGAGAGGACCATGAGGCTGGCCCAGAGCTCTCCGGCCGTCTCTGCATCTCCCTAGCCTGCACACACATATTTAACCACACGCCCCTCTGCATTCACGTTTCTTGAGCACCTGAACCACACTAGACACCTTTCTTAGAGCAGCAATTTCACCCTCATGATACCTGCCAGGGAGAGGCGATCAAAGTTCCCATTTTCCCAGTACTCCCAGCTGGTCCTTGTTGGAGCTGCAATTCAAACCCTTGTCCACCTGCCAGGCCTTGTTCTCAGCGCCCACCCCTTCCTCTGAGCCTCCGAGGCCAGGCACACCGATATCCGTGAGACCGTGTGCAAGGGGAGAGACAGATGTGCCTGCTAAAAAAGGAAGAAAGAGAAAAAGCAGCGATTTATAGCACAAAGCACACAAACTGAGGCCCAGCCTACGGAACTCACAGGAGATTTCTAGGCTCATCTCAGAGCCAAACGTCCCCAGTCACTTCCTTGCCTCGAGCTAATTATGCCCTGGGAAGCCGGGTCTAATTACACAGGGCTCCCCCCTCCACCCCTGCTGGGAAGAAATAGACATTTGTGGTCATAGAGCCAGGTGTTCACATAGCAACGGGGCTAAATAGCTCTGGGAGGTGAATGGGAGCCAGCCGTGAGCTCTGACAGCTAATTTCTGTGCTTGTCAGTGCGAACACCTCCCCAGCGTGGGTTCCTTCTCCCCTCTAGGAAATATGCCCCCGTGTGCAGCATCTGTGAGAATCCCATCATCCCCCGAGATGGGAAGGATGCCTTCAAAATCGAGTGCATGGGAAGAAATTTCCATGAGAACTGCTACAGGTGCGAGGTGAGTGGAGCAGCGAGGATTTCATCCCGTGCTGTTGGGATAACACACGTTCAGTGGCTGCAGGAGTCTTCCTGCTGGATGCCAGACCCTGGGATGGGTTCTGGGACACAAGGTGAGTGGGGTCTCTGTTCCCAGTTGCTGAGCAGCAGAGATGAATAAGTATGTAAGTAACTGCAAAGATCGTCTCTTGACAGATCCCTGGGTGGGGCAAACGGTGCTTGACTATTAATATCCAGGTTGATAATATGAACACACCATAGAACAAAGGCTATCTGCTTCCATAAAGGTTACAACCCTGTGTGGAACACGGGAGTCACCATGAGTCAGAGTGGACAAATGTTGATTTCTTTTTTTTACATGGGCTCTTTATCAAAATTCATTGGTTGTTAATGACAGAAAACAAAACTCAAATTACCTTCCATAAGAAAACGTATCTCTTGTGAATCGTGGTAATACCGAGGTCTCAAATGCTATTAGGGCTCTCACTGCCTCTTGGTCCTGACTTTTCTGTGTGTTGCCGGCATGTTGGCATTCTCTGTGAGAAAGGACAGGTGATGCACACACGGCTGACCCCGAGGAGAGAGGATTTTTCTCTTATCCAGGAAATCATCCAATCCCAGGAAATTGGCCCAGCTTAGATCACGTGCCCATCTGGACCAATCACTAGTCCAGGGACTGGGTGCTGATTAAAGTGTTTGCTGTAAGTGGAAGATGATGTGGGGCAGACTCACACGTCATTGCAGGGAGCTAGGGAAAGGCTTGGGTGAGAACTTGAAGGCAGAGAAGACAGCAATGCATTCCAAACAGTAGTTGTGAGCTTCTTTAAAGGAGCAGTTGTTGTGGGTTGTTGATTGAGAACTGACCCACCCATTGCTGACCCTAAGCTAGTTTTGTTTGTTTGTTTTGGGTTTTATCTTTTCTTTTTTTTTTTTTTTACAAAGTTCATATACAGGGGAGAGCTCTGGTGGCCTAGTGGCAAGGAACTGCAACTACAATCCCAGAGGCGCACAGTTCGAATCCACCAGATGCCCTGCCGGGGAAGGAGGGACAATCTCCTCCTGTACCAGTCAGATCTGATTTGACAGTACACACACATAAAAATAATAAAATTTTTAAAAACCCCCCAAAAAACCAAAGTTCATATACATTGTTTTTCATACCAGATCTTTCCCATTTGCTTCACCCACCCCTCCCTCCACCTATCAAATTGTGCCACCCTGTGATTAATCACCCCCGCCCATCCTCACCCCTCTGCTCCCCCCTTTCCTCCCTTGGATCCTCATACACATTCTACAATAAAGATCTTATACAATAGTTGTCCTTATAGGACTGAGTTAGTTCACTTAGCATAATGCTCTCCAGGTCCTCCCTAGTTAGGTAGTAATTTACTAAAATCATTGCTCCTGTGTGCTGCGTAGTATTCCATCGTGGGAGATTACCCATCCTTTTCCTGGGGAGCAGCTGGTGGATTCAAACCACATGCCTTTGGGATTGCAGGTTATAGCACAGCTTCTTAGCACTAGGCCACCACAGCTCCTCTGTAATGCATTTTCCTTGGGCAGTGGAGCAAAGGTGTTTTCATAGAAGAGTTGATGTGTGACTTGGACTTTGAAAGATGAATAGAAGTTTGCCAGGTAGAGAGGTGCAGGGAAGTCTGGAGAGAGAAGAGATCCTGTGAAAAGCCACTGTGACTCTAGCATGGCTGGGAAGTCAGAAGCAGAAGTCTCTAGGAGTGTGTGGAGTGTGGCGTGCTGGAGACGTGGTTAGCAGTGAAGCCAGGGAGGACCTCCAGTAGCTGGCAAAGGAGTCCAAACTTCAGACTGCAAGGAGGGGTGAGGCTGGAGCTAACGAGGCTAGGTAGAAGCTGGTGTGATAATTCTGACAAGAAACACCCTGGGAACTACACAGAACCAGCTCAGGAGGGCCCCAGGCTTACTTTAAAACTCTACTGTCACCATCTTTTGATTCTTCTTCTTTTTTTTTTTAACAACCTGTAAAAACTGACTTTTGACCATCCATCCAGTTTCTGAACGTGTAAATATTTTTTTTATTTTTTTTCAAGGTTGAGATTTGTTTATTGGGTTACTGAGTCATAGTTGGTTATGAAGTTGTAAATCTTTACAGGAGGAGACTGCTTCTCTTTCTCCCAAGACTCAGCTGGTAGAGTCAAACAGCTGAACTTTTGGTGAAAAGCCCAACATATCACACACAACTTCATTTGTTGTTGTTATTGTTTGTTATTGTTATTGTTGTTAGGAGCCTCGAGTCGAGTACTACTCATAGCGACCCTGCGAACAACAGGTCTGAACCCCGTCCTGTCCCTGTGCCATCCTCATCATCTCTGACACACTTGAGCCCACTGCTGCAGTCACTGTTTCTTTAAGGGTCTTTCTCTCTCTTGCTGACTGTCCACTTGTCCAAGCATGATGTCCTTCTTCAAGGAATAGCCTCCTTCACAACACACCCAAAGTATGAAGCTTCACCATCTTTGCTGTTCTCCAGCTCTACTTTTTCTAAGATAGACCTGCTTGTTCTTTTGACAGTCCGTGTGCAGTCCACAGTCCTCTTCTCTAACACCACAACTTTAAATTCTTCTTTTGTCATCCTCATTCATTGTCCAATTCTCAGATGCAAAGCACAGGATTGAAAACCATGGCCTGAATCAGGCACACCTCAGTCTTTAAACTGACATCATTCCTCCTCAGTACTTTGGAGAGGTCACCATGTTTCCTGATCTCACAACTGCTAGTACAAAGAGTGTTGATTATGGATCCAAATAAGAGTAAATCATTGGCAATGTCAATCTTTGTTCTCTCTATCATGATGTTGCTTATCAGTCCAACGGTGAGGATTTATGTCTTCTTGATGTTGAGAGTGTAGTCTTTGATCTTCTGCAGCAAGCATTTCAAGTCTTCCACTTTCAGCAAGCAAGGCGTGTCATTTGCATAATGCAGTTTGTTGATGATGAGTCTTCCTCCAATCCTGGTACTACATTCTTCTTCATAGAGCTCTGCTTCATTAATTATTTGCTCAAAATACAGAGGGAATAGATATGGAGACAAAGCACATCCCTGACTTACACCCTTGCCAATTTCACACTCTGCAGTGTTCCCTTGCTCCATTCAGATTTGCTCTGTTTGCACAACAGCTTCTTGGTCTAGGTATAGATTTTGTATGTGCACAGCTTTGTTGTTTGTTGTTATGTGCCATCGAGTCGCTTGCGACTCATAGCAACCCTATGTACAACAGCCCTAAACTCCACTCTGTCCTGTGCCAATCACACTGTCTCTGACACTCCCATGCCAATTATCCCAGTCACTGAATCAATCCACCTCATAGAGGGCCTTCCTCTCCTGCGCTGTCCCTCCACCCTCCCAAGCATGATGTCCTTCTCCAAGGACCGGTCTCTCCTCACAACATGTCCAAAGTATGTTAGACGGAGCCTCAGAATCCTTGCCTCCAAGGAGCCACCGGGTTTAACCCTTTCCAGGACAAATCTGTTTGTTTTCCTAGCAGTCCGTGGTATTCTCAATACTCTTCTCCAGCACCACAACTCAAAGGCATCAATTCTCCTTCTATCCTCCTTGGTCATTGTCTAACTCTGATGCATAACAAGTGATTGTGAAGACCATGGCCTGTATCAGACGCACCTTAGTCTCCAGAGAGACACCATTGCTCTTCAGTACTTTGGAGAGGTCCCTAACAGCAGACTTTCCCATGGCAATGCGCCTTTTAATTTCCTGGCTGCTGGTGCCAAGACGGTTGACTGTGGAGCCAAGCAAACTAAAGCTGTGTACAATCTCAATCTCTTCACCATCCATCCCGATGCTGCCAATTGGTCCAGTGGTGAGAATCTTTGTCTTCTTGACATTGAGCCTCAATCCATATTGTAGGCTGCAGTCCTTGACACTCTGCAGCAGGCGCTTCAGGTCCTCTTCAGTTTCAGCAAGCAGGGTTGTGTCATCTGCATAACGCAGATTGTTGATAAATCATCCACCAATCTTGACCCCACATTTCTCCTCATAGAGCCCAGCCTCCCGGATAATCTGTTCTGCATATAGGTTGAAAAGGTATGGAGATAGGATGCATCCCTGGCGTACGCCCTTCAGTATTCAGAAATTCCAATTCTTAAGGTTAGCCATAGTTTGTTATGACCTATACAGCCAAAAATATCTTTGCTTAGCCAATAAAGATAGACATTCTTTTGGTATTCTCTGCTGTCAGCCAGGATCCACCTGACATCCACAAAGACAATCTCTGGTGCCACAGCCTCTTTTAAACACCACTTGAACTTCTGACAGGTCCCTGTCAATGTACTCTTCTAGCCATTTTTGGATGATCTTCGGAAATCATCAGAAGACACTGGCCAAAAATGAGACCCCAGGAATCAAGGGGATACCAACTGACTTGTTTCAACTAACAGATGCAGCCCTGGACATGTTCACTAGTTTGTGCCAGGGAATTTGGAAGACAGCTTCCTGACCATCTGACTGGAAGAGATCCCTATTTATTTCCATTCCCAAGAAACGAGATCCAATAGAATGGAGATTATAGAGCTATATCTTTAATATTACATGCAAGCAAAATATTGCTGAAGATCATCCAAAACCAGCTTGAACAGACCCCATTAGAGCTCCTTTTAAAAAAAAAAAATCAAGGGCCCCCCACATTTCATCGTAGCCTAAATCTCAAAAATTAAGTAGCTGGTCCTGCTAAGTCCACTCCAAGAATCCTCCCACTGTCACTTCCATGTCACTGCTGTTTCTGCTTTCTCTACTAATGGTGACAAATGTGGCAGTTTCTGTGGGTGTCTCCTAAGTGGGGAAGCTCCAGGGTAAATCTGATCATTGTAAACATTCACTCACCATTAAACATGTGCTTAAACAGGTAGGTGGGACCAAGAGGCTGTTCTTGCTAAGGGTGCAGAGGGAGTTGGGGAGAGAAGCTGAAAGCTGCTTCATAATAATGTTCTTTGTTAGTTGTAGTTCAAGGTCCAGTTTGATAATACATCTTGAAAGAACAGTGATGAAATACAATCACTGTTATCACCACGATAGCCTTATTAAGGCCCTGAAAGTGATTAACATTTCTCAGAGCCTGGCTGGTGAGCAAACAAACCCTCCCTGCTTGTTCTAATGAACTTGACCCAGGGCGCAGTGAAAGGTACCCAAGTGTACCAGCACTGGGACCCAGGCAGTTACAGTTCAGAAGGGAAGACTTCTTGAACTGTGGCCCCTTGGAGTGGGTCTGGGTGCTGTTTCTCCAGGAAGGGAACTCAATACTGATGGAGAAAAATAGATTTCAAGGAGTGGTCCACACCCTTCATCTTTCCTGCCTGCCTTTGTAGAATATTTTATTACCATTGTTTGAAATCTAATATTACATTTTACATATGTGTGGTGGTTTTCATTGTAAAAATGCTTCTAGGGGCGAGCTCTGGTGGCCTAGTGGCAGAAAACTGCACTGCAATCCCAGAGGTGCGCGGTTCAAATCCACCAGATGCTCTGCTGAAAAAGGAGGAACAATCTCCTCCTGTACTGTACCAGTCAGATCCAATTTGACGGTACACACATTCAAAAAAAAAAGGTTTCTAGGGAGCTCTGGTGGCCTAGTGGCAAGAAGCTGTACTGCAATCCCAGAGGTACATGGTTCAAATCCACCAGATGCTCTGCTGGAGAAAGAGGGGCAATCTCCTCCTGTACCTGTCAGATCCGATTTGACAGTATACCACAAAAAAAAAATAAATAAAATAAAATAAAATTTTAAAAATGCTTCTCTCTATATATACTGCCTTCTTTCATGCTAATGACAGATAAAATTTGTTTTCACTTAAAATGAGGAAACAGACATAGCAAATTGGTTGTGTTTGTCTGAGCTGGGTCTAGCCAATTTTCTGTCAGCTTAGAGCTAGTCTTAGTTGAAGTATTATCTCTACTTTATTATATTGTAGGTCAGAGCCCTGCCTCTCTTTTGTAACTTTAGGTTTGTCACTGGGTGTTCATGATGTGAAACAAATGATGATGACTAGTACAGACACTGGATTAAATAGTCATGTGCGCTTGAGAGACTCTAGCAGGAGCTGCAGGGGAGAGACAGACGAGGGCGCCCTACCCAGCTGGTGACGGTGGAGCCCTCACTGGGTCGGGCCTGAGGTTGTCTCCAGGGATCAGGCCCCCTGGTGGCGTGAAAGACAATTGCAGTTTCTAAAGGACTTCAGCCGCGTCCTGACCTGGCCAGACCTCTGGATATTAATTGTTCCCATTATCACATCAAGCTTATGCCCAAGTAAGGTGCTGGCCTGGGGCAAAATAGTGACTTGGGCAAAGGCAGGGCCCTAAAAATCCCCATGCTCCTTGGGCTGAATTCCCTTTGGGGATTTGAAGTTGATAAGTATCAAAGTTCATCCCAGTGTCGAAGTTGTGTGGACAGAAGAGCAAAAAACAAGATCTCTAATGCTGACCCTGGGGACTTGGTCCAGTCCTAGAATGGTGTGGCCCGGGGCAAACGTGCCCTTCCCTGGACCTCGCTGTCCCTATCTGTGAAATGAAGGGACAGGTCTGAGTTCAGTTATTCATTCAGTATATACCTATCAAGTGTTTGTAGCATGCCAGGTGCTGGGCTGGGGTGCAGCATAGCTGGAGCTCATGCCTTGTGGGGCTTTACAGGACTCTGGCTGGTTCTTAAGGGCTTTCTGGCTCTGACTTCCCATGATTCTATGGGAATGTCTTTCCCTAGAGGACACACTCGACCCTGAGCATCCTCTGTTCTGAGGCAGAATCTGTTCTCATCTCCTGGCACCTACATGTGCTCACAGCAAGCCCTCCTTCCTCGTCCCCATCTCCAAGGCCTTCCCCGTGAAGACCTGGCCAGGTATGATAGTAGGTGTACTAGGAGTGAGAAGCCCATTCCTCACCCTGCGGGTGTTTGTTCAGTTGGCTTATTCAAGACATACTAACCCAGTGCTGTCGAGCTGATCCCAAGTCCTGGTGACCCCGTATATTACAGAGTAGAACTGCTCCATGGGGTTTACTTGGTGGTAATTTTTGTGGCAGCAGATCGCCAGGCATTTCTTCTGCAGTGCTCCTGGGTGGATGCAGTCAACTGGCCTCTCTAGTTTAGAACCCAAGTGCAAATCGTCTGCTCTGCGCAGGGACCTGAGGACACACTCTGAGGGGTGCTGGCTCTGCAGTTCTCTGCTGGCGGCCAGGTCTGGGCTGCATTAACACATGCACCTTTGTCTCCCACAGGACTGCAGCATCCTCCTGTCTGTCGAGCCCACCGACCAGGGCTGCTACCCCCTGAATGACCACCTCTTCTGCAAGCCGTGCCACGTGAAGCGGAGTGCTGCAGGGTGCTGCTGAGAGCACCTCCCGGGTAGGGGGCAGCCAGCAGACCGCCCACCTTAGCCAGGTGCCCTTCCCTGACTTTGTTTCCCTTCCTGACCCTCTCTTGCACACTTCCTCGCAGAGCCTCAGCAGGGGACAGCCTGCAGCTCTGACTATGGTGGCCGGGAGCAGGCCTCACACTGGCCTCCTTCCAGCACAGTGGCAGGGTAGCTGATGGACTTTACTCTTAGATTCACAGTCCCTCCTCTGACCTCTCTGGATACTGGGAAGCTGTCCTGAGTATCATACCTGAGATTCCATTTCCAAGGCTCTTCAGGGCCCAGCATGCTGACGGTGTCTGGCTTCCCTACCACTGACCCTGTAGCTGTCTGATCAGAGGTGCCCAGGACTCACTCCCTGGTATATATGATTAAGTGCTTAACTACAAGCTGAATGGTTAGCAGTTCAAACTCACCCAGAGGCACTTTAGAAGACAGGCCAGCCAGTCTGCTGCCGCCAGGTGGCCTTGGAAACACTGGGGATCACAGTGCTGCTCTGCACAAAACGGGCCACCATGTACCTGAATCTACCGCAGATTGACCAATACCCCACCAGCCGGGGTGCAGGGCTCACCTCTGTCTTGCAGAACTGAACTGTTGGAGAACATTCCCAAGGACCCATATAAAGCACTTTTAAAAAAAACCCTTAAGGTTTAAATAGTAGAAAATGGAGCTCTCCAGGTCTGTGGTGGTTGGCCATGAACTTCATTCTCACATCTGAGACCTGTGCTGGGATGTGATATCCTAGGAGGGAGCCCACCCAGCAGGGGCAAGACAAAAAGGGTGACGCCCAGACACCCGAGGCCACTAGCAGTCGCTCTGCACTGCCTGCTGTGTGCCCAGTGCTGCTGCAGGCGTGGATTGAGTGCCTGCTGTATGCAGGGGAACACAGTGTGGGGCGTGCACGGAGTGTTCTTTCTGCGTCCTTGGCTGGGGCTGTGCACACACCACACACACACATATACCCTCATAAACACACACACTCACACCTCCCACACTGGCTGCCAGTGACCACTGCCTCATCAAGACCACAATGAAAAGACTCTCCTCTTTTAAAGAAACCACTATTGTTGCTTCGAGACTTCTCAGACTGGGTGGTGAAGGAACGAAGCAGGGTGTGCTTTCCTCCCCGCAGTCTTTTTAACAGCGCTCACACGTGAGGACACACAGATTCCAAGAATGTGGGAGACTCTGCAGACCTCCCGCGAGAACACGGCTTCCTGCCCTGAGCTTAGAGCGGCTGGTACCAGACGTGAGGCTTTCACTCACCACCTTTACAGATGCCAGAACCAAGGACCAGCCGTTCCGCTGTTGCCTTAATAGTTTCTTTATATTGATGCCCTTTGTTTCCACTCACTTCCAACTTAAAGCCTTATAATAAACAATATACCCACCTGATCACACGTTAATGTTTGATGTTGATATTTGGTGGGGTTCCCCCCCCCCAGTAGACATCAAAATAAATACTCAACTATTAGAAGTTCGTGTTCCACCTAAGATCTCACACTGGAAAGAGGACCTAGGGGGTTGGTGGGTGGACACTTTGCCGATGGCACTGGGGGAGTGTGTTTCTGATGGACATCTGCTCAGTGTGGCATGTGGGGCGGGGGTTGTCTGGGAACTTCTTGTTCTTCCCAGAGTGGGACTCAGCTCAGCAGATGAAGACACTCCTCTTAGGGAGCTCTGGTGGCCTAATGGCAAGAAGCTGCACTGCAATTCCAGAAGTACGCAGTTCAAGTCTCCTTGTGTACCAGTCAGATCTGATCAGATTCAATTTAAAAATACACACATAAAAAGTTAAAAAAAAATTTTTTTTAAAGACACTCTTCTTGTCCAGCAGGAAGGAGCTGCACCAGCTGCTCACGGTGCGGCCGATAGCCAGACGCAGGTCCTCAGCCGTGAGATTGGCTGCAGGATGCCCTTGCTCAGAGCCTCCCTCATGTGGCAGCGGTCCTCTCAGACCACCAGATCCTTTAACAGCATCAGAATTCACCCACAGAATGTATCCTATCTGCATGTGTCATGACTGCCTGCTGGATCAGCTCAGTCATCTACCATTAACTTGTGTGTGTACAGCTGGGTGGACTTGGCCCAGTGGACAGAGCTCTGGAGAGAAGGGTCCTAATGAGACAGAGCCTGGAACTTAGGGGCAGAGACTTGGGTTTCAGACCTGGCTCTGGGACTCGGTGATATTGGCAAGTTATTAACCCTTGATTTTTTTTTTAACCCTTGATTTCTTCATCTGTGAAATGGGAATAATACAGCCCTAGGAGTTCCTGTGATGAAAAGAGGATCGCTGGGCTTATTAGGCTCCAGTCTGGTTCCCAAGCCAACTTTCCTTATACCAGTGCTCCTGGTTGGACATGTGGCGCCCATCCACCAGAGAACTCCTGTGGAGGTGGTTCAAATCCACCAGCCTTTCTGTGAGAAAAGGATGGGCAGTCTCCTGAGATTTACAGAGAACACACGTGTAGTCAGCAAAGCTGGCTTTATTATGTTGCTTTGGCAAGGGAGGCAGTACAGCATGGGAACTGTGAGGGGTCTCAGGAATAGGGTAGTAAGAGAGACTCACAATGGGCCTTGGAATGATACCAAGGTCTGAGGAAAGATTTGGGGAGATGGGTTTTGTTCCTGAAGTGCACTGTGAGGATGCAGAGATAATCCAACTATTGGGAAGTTTATCCATTTTATGTAGAATATGGTGCTTCAGCCAGATAGGAGATGCCCATCACTTTTTTTATTTTATTTTTAACATGGTACAATATGCACAACCCAACACTCTCTGATTCCACAGTTCCTACACACATAATTCTGTGACATTATTACTCTATTAATGTGCTGTAGCCCTTGCTGTAATCTTTCTATTAATTACAAGCATTAATGTTAACTCAGTGTGTGTGTCATCCAAAAAAAAGCTCCCCTTCCCTCTTCCACCCTTGGTAATCACTAATAATACCTGATTTCATTGTTGTTAGATGCTATGGAGTCGAGTATGACTCATAGCGACCCTATGAACAAAAGATCTGAGCCCTGTCCCATCCTGTGCTGTCCTCACACTTCCTGTCACACAGGAGCCCATTGCAGCAGTCACTGTGTCAAGCCCCCTGATCAAGGGTCTTCCTCTTCCTCAGGGACCCTCCACGCTTCCTAGCATCATGTCCCTCTCCTAGCAACATGCCCAAAGAATGTGAGGTGAAGCCTCATCATTCTTGCCACCAAAGAGAACTCCGGCTGCACCTTCTCCGAGACATAATTGTTTGTTCTCTTGGCCATCCAGGGGACGTCCAGGGCTCAGCATTCAGTTTGATTTCTTTTTTTTTTTTTTTATTTTTTTTTTAAATTTTATTATTTTTGTGTGCATGTACCGTCAAATCAGATCTGACTGGTACAGGAGGAGATTGTCCTCCTTCCCCAGCAGAGCATCTGGTGGATTCGAACCATTTGCCTCTGGGATTGTAGTTGCAGTTCCTTGCCACTAGGCCACCAGAGCTCCCCCAGTTTGATTTCTATATACTCTTAATACGGGAGGTCAGATGGCATTTGTCCTCTTACAGTGCAGTTCTCGCGCTCGGCATGATGGTGTCTGGGTTCACCCAGGTGTGTCAGGCCAGGCCATCCCTTCTCTTTCTGGCTGAGCACCTTTCCATTTTCCCTCGTTTTGCTCATCTACGTTATCTGCTGATGGACACGGAGGTTTCTGTCTTTCAGCTATTGTGTCTAGTGCTGTGATGAGCACAGGTGTATGGGGATTTGCATAGAGGTTCTGAGCTTCAGGCACAGCTCTGAAGTGGGGTTGTTTTTGACCTGCTTCGTCATGGTCATTGATATGGTCCAATGTGGGTGAGCTGAGAAGTTGGTTATGTTCAACAGGATACACATGCTCTGGCTGTGGGGACGAGGCCACCTTCCTCGTCAGGGGCTTTATTCTTAGGTGGGAGCTCTGATGGTATAGTGCACAGTGAATTGTACTGCTGACTCAAAGGCTGCATGTCCCTGGTTCTAATCCCTCCTGAGGCTCTGCAGGAGAAAGATGGGCCGCTTCTAATTGTTTTGATATACAGGCTCCAAAACTTCATGGGTGATCACTGTGAGGTGTAACTGACTCAACAACAGCAAGTTTGAGTTTCAGTGAATTTATTCTTGGTCACAGATGTTTTATCCCCATCGTGAAAATGTAGCATTTTCTTGTAAGGCCTCATGTCCCAGGTTATTTCCCATTGGTTAGATTTGGTGGGGGGAGCTCTGGTGATGGAGTCGGTAGCAAGTTGAACTGTTAACCAAAGGTTGTGCGTCTCTATTGGTTCAAATCCACCAGCTGCTCCATGCGAGGAAGATGGATAATTCCCTCCTTTACTGTTTACAGCCCTGGAAACCCAATGGAAGGTCACTGTTAGTTTATAATGACCCAGTGACCGTGATTGGCAGGTGTGGAGAAGTGGCATCTGCATGACATTCTGAGTGGAGGCCTTCATCTTCTGAGTACACGTCTAGACACCATTCTATTGGGGGAACTCTTCTATAGAGAGTTCTGCAGTGTATCTCTTCTCTCTGTTAGGTCTCCGGCTGCTGCAAATAGTTTTCTTTCAATTAATCTAAAGGGTGATGGTTCAAACACAGCCAGAGGTGCCACAGAAGAAAGATCTGGCAATCTTCTGTAAAGAATGTTGTTGTTTGCCATCGAGTCAGAACCGACCCACAGCTGATGCTAGGTCGGGTTTTCAGAGGTAGTTAATTGCACGGGAGGAGATTGTCCATCCTTCTCCCAGCTCTTTAAACATTACAGCCCCAAAGTCTATTCCATAACACATGGAGATGGCATGAGCCCACTGGGCAGCATTGGATTTGATTATTCTATTTTTGGCTTGTGTATCTCCGTAGGCCAAATGAGCTCTGGGAGGATATCAAGAAAATCGTCCATGAAGAATGCAAAAGATCATTACAAAGGCTGAAAAAGAGGAAAAGACCAAGATGGATGTC